GAGTTCCTTGCACCGCACTGAGTCCGGGACTCAGGGGCGGGGGCTTGGAGTCCAAGTTTGGACGAGGACCTGGACACCTAGGATAGGAGAGTGATGGATTGGACCTGCTTGTGCCTTGGGTAGAAGCGGGGCGTGTGTTTTCGAGATACCCAGCTGGGGGCATTGATTCGTGAATCGCCAAGCAATCCGGTACGGCTTGTTTCATGTCTAGCACCGTAGTAAGAACTGAAAGATGAAAGATGGAATGAAAAAAGGAAATCTGATTGCTTACCACCTGCTTGAAAGTAGCACAGGTGCTTACATAGAATGGTTGGTTAATGAACTAATGCGGTTGTTAATAAAAATCGAATATAAGGACGCACGCTTAGTAATGCTTTCTGCAAATGCAATAAAACCACAAGCCAAATAGCCTTGCATATCCTTGGAGTCTTTTCTTTCCTCCTATCGGGTAAGTCTTGCTGAGTACAATTGAGTACTCGGGGTTTTATTCCCCCTGTTACAGGTGACAGGTGGATGCTAGAGCTGACCCTTGTGTGTGGATACCTCCTGGTGGGCTCAGCGAGGATTCCTTTACGCGGCATTCATAGTTTTTATTTATAACTCTCACTAAATGTTTTTATGAATGAAAGTATTATAATCTGTTGTCATAGTTTATATATCAATGCTTCATCATTTCATGAATAGGTATTTATTTCCGCTGTAATTCTGATCACATATTTATATTCCGCTGTTACATTAAATTATTCATAACTCTGATAATATGATTACATTCCGCTGTTATAATGATAAATATTATGCTCTGATGTCATATTAAAAGTGATGTAAAAAATGGTTAACAATGATGTAAGCTTTATTCTCTTATTTGTGATCCTGATGGCAAAATTGTGGATTTTTGGGTTCTGCCCTGGGGTGTGCCCGACAGAACCGAGTAATTTAGTGTTCTCCCCTGAGTGCTTAGTGTCTAATGGAAGACAAGCACTCCTGGGAGGCATTAGATTAGGCGGTTCAGCCACAGTCGGACCGTGGCGCAGTTGTGGCCTCCTGTGCCGCGCTTGGTGGCTGAAGCGGTGAGCGGATGGAGCGATCCATCTGGTGTGTCCCCACTCCCCTGGTGGGGAGAGAGGCCGCGAGTCAGAGTTGTGATGCGGAGCTTTCCTCCTGTTGAACAACGGCGGCTTCCACCAGCGCCCGGAGGTTCTGGTGGACCGCCCGCTCCTGGGGGTCGATGGGCTCGGGACGCCGCGCAGAAGCATTGCCACAACGGCAATGTTCAGGCTAGCCTGAGCGAACTGTGGGGGGTCGTTCCCATCGTCCATGATGTCGCGCTGGACCTGGCGGGTGTGACCCCGGGCGCCGCTCGCCGGGTTACGCGCTTGGGGCGCAACGTGCTGCACCGAGCGCGTCGGCGCAGGTGGCGACTGGTTCTACCACCGTTGTCGTAGCTCCTCGGAGTGCTCTTGTGCGAGCGTGAGGGCCCCCGCACGAGGGTCCAGAGGGGTGTTAGTCTGCAAGGACTCTGCTACCACCGACAGCTGTCCCGGAGCATCCGCCATAGTGCACTCTCGGGATGGATGGTGGCTAGGTGCCACATCGTCGATGCTGGAACCGTCGCTCTCAACCTCGTCATCGAGGAGTTCGTGGAAAGTGGTGGGAGCATAGCTCACCATTCTCACGAATTCGGATGTGAGAGGGGACGGCGCCAGCGTCCTTCGGAACCCTCGAGCGTACGCGTCCGTGGGGGACGTGAGGCCATAGGGGAACCGGTCGTACGCTGGTTGGATGGCCCCAGTCGGCTTCGGTTGCGCTGGTCGGAGAAGAGCGGCGAGCAGGGTTCTTACGTACCCCGGTCGGAGAGATGCGGGGTCGGAGTCAGAAGTAGGGCTCGGGGCAGGCCTTCCGATCAGAGAGGCCGTCCGGAGGCGACTGGAGCCCGAATCGAGCCCTCCGGTCGGATAGGTGGGCCCAAGTAGCTGACGAGTGGGCGTTGCTCTTCTTGGGCCAGGCCTTCCGGTCGGTTGCTGGACCGCCCCTTTGCCCTATTGTTTTTAGACTCTCGGGTCGAGCTTTGGCGTGGAAGCCGGTCCCCGAGGGACCCTGGGTTTATGAACCCGATAGTACGGTCCTCGGTATTGCGGTTGACTTGAGTGCCCTGCCTCACTTGCTCCGTCCGTTTTTCTGGTTCTCACCGAGCGGGTGTCCTCGGTCGGTTGGTTCCATTCGGCTCTGACTGCGCCAGTCTGAGAAGAGCTGTAAGCAGAGGTTCGGTGTATCCCTGGTCGGAGACGTGGGTCGGAGTCGGAAGCGGTGTTTGGCTAGGTCTTCTGGTCGGAGAGGCGGGCCGGAGCCGGAAGCAAGCGCTGTTCCTTTTTGACCAGGCCTTCCGGTCGGAGAGGCAGACCGAAGTCGGAAGCGAGCGTTGTTCCTTCTTAGCGATGCCTTCCGGTCGGAGATTGGATCGCCCTGCTGGTCTGTCGTTTAGGTATTCTGTGCCGGCCCAGGAGTTGTGCGTCGTTCGCAAGGTTGTCTGCTGGGTCGAACCTTTATTCGGGAGCCGGTCCATGAGGGACCACGGGTTTATGAACCCAACACATATAAAATTTATGATTTTTTAAAAATAACCTGACAGCAAAAAGAATTTCCGCCAATTGATTTGGCGGTAACAAATATTATGCCTGATTGACCAGTGGTATGTAGTTTCCGCCAGTTTAGTTGGCGGCAGTAGTATATTTTTACATTTATTTATTTATTTATTTAGACAAATATGTTTGCAAAAAAACGAATTTATAAAATATAAAAATAAAAAAATCAGGCTGGACACCCAAGCACCTATGCGGCTATGCCAATGCGGCGCGGCTGCAGGGTGCAAGCCTGCTCGCTCAACGGACCGTGAGCGTGACCCGCAGGCCCGCGAAGCCGAGTGAACAAACGGAGAAGACACCTTTTCATTGGCAACTCCTAACACAAATTTGTGATGCTCCGGTGCGACAGTTATGTGGCGCGGGGGCTGGGAGGCTTTGCGCTAGTGGACTAGAACGGATTCTCCCTGTGCTGGGCTTGTTCTCGGCGCTTCAGTTTGGACAGGGCTTGATCTTTTTCTACTGGAAACAGTCCACAATACCTCCTCAACTTTCGCAAAAATTCGTTTTTCCTCCTTGAACTCCAAAATCGGGTAAAACACCTCTCTCAACTTTTAAAACCATTCATCTTACCTCTCTGGCTCTCTAATAAGCAGTTTTGAAGACGGTTTTGTCTTTTTCTTTTTTATTTATTTCGGCTGAATCTTTGAAAATCATAGTAAATCACAGAAAAATCATAAAATGGAAAATCTAATTTTGTTGGACTTCATATGAGTAGATCTATACAGTGAACATATAATATGGTATGATTTAGCATAAAGTTTTTGCTGTAATTTTAGATCTATGATATTCTATAATTAAACGGAATAATTCATAGCTGCAGTTTTTATGGTCCAATTGTGGTGAAATTTTTATGGTGGACTAATTATTGTATACTTAAACTATAGTAAAAATTTCATACACATTGGATCATGTATAACTTAGTTATAGATTTTATTTAGATTTATGCTTGGTAAATATAAATAAATCTATAACTAAGCAATACATAATCCAAAAATAAATAAATAAGACAAAACCGCCTTTAAAACCGCTTATAACAGGGTCAGGGAGGTGTTTTGCCTGGTTTTGGAGTTCAGAGAGGAAAAGCGGACTTTCATGAAAGTTGAGGAAGATAACGTGGACTTTTTCCTTTTCTATTTGTAGATTTCGACCACCATGTGGTTTTCGCTCGGTTTTCATCAGTCAACACTGAAGCATAAGTGAACGTCGTATGCGCCACTCGCTTCTCAAACCGTATCTTCTCCTTCTTCTACAACTAAAAAGACTAAAAGTAAGACTATTTTTTGGTGCAACTTTTTTTTTATCATTCCTCTCTTTCGGCCATACGATACCCCGCATGATAGAAAAAGAAACTACCATCCCTGTGATCTTCGTCTGCTTTGAAGGAAATAAATTGATCACCTGAGGCAACATACATGGAAGGAAATAATAATCATGCATGGAAGGAAACAATTAGCAAAGATCAAGCAAGACTCATCCCTTCCGGCCATGCGATACCCGCGCGATAGAAAAAGAAACTGTCATCCCTGCGATCTTCGTCTGCTTTGAAGGAAACAAATCGATCACCTAAGACCACATGCATGGAAGGAAACAATAATCATGCATGAAAGGAAATAATTGTCAAAGATCAAGCAAGACGACTCAATGAGGTTGGCCCTTAATTTTAGTGTTTCCAGCATGCAGACCTGAAATTAAAAAGTGGCTGCTCCTTGAGAACATTAGTGGTGCCAAATAAAAGATGCAAAGTTTTGCTAGGCGCTAGGCGAAATCTAGACGATGACCCTTAGCCTAGCGACTAGTCCAGCCTAGGCTAGCCTAGGCGATGCTAGGCATTTTTAGGCGTTTTGCCAATTTATATTTATATATCAATATATAATATATACATTTATGGCATAAATCATGAATAATTTTGATAAAAAATAGGGAAGAACCAGTAGACATACCTTAGGTCCTTTGTCCTTAGTTGCAGTTGATACACTACTGATCACTGAATTTCCTGCAGCACTGCTGCAATAGAAGTGGACAACACTTTTATATGTAATTGGGCATCAATACAAGTGATACAAAAAATAAGAAATAGCAAGTTAGGTACTTATCTAAGGTCTGAGCCTTCTCCCATCCATTATCAGCATTTCAGCAGCATAGGATAGCCTTTTGAAATCACAAACATGAAGGGACAGCAGACAGCAACACAGAATATAAAATGGATAGTAGACTAGCAGTACATTACATCACATGATTGATGACTCTCAATTCTCACAACACAAAACACAAGCACACAGCAGGAGTTCTAAGTTCTTAAGTTAAAGATACATGGATGCATAATAAAAGCTAAAACATGACATGAAGCTGTCTCACACTTCTTCAGTAGGGTTCATCAATCACATAGTCATCCTCATCTTCATCAAACTCTTCTTCTTCGGACTCAAACTCTTCTTCATAGAGCTCTCTCACCCTTGCACTTCTACGCAGCTCTAGTTGTTCTTCTGCTCCCACTGCATCTCCAAGCACAGACCAAGGTATCCCTATACCTTCCATGAGTTCTTCCTCATCTTCCTCATCTCTAAAGACAACTAATGCACAATCATCTCCCTTCTCTTGAAGGAAACCTTGAGCTTCAGTTATATCACTAGACAAGAGAACATCAGTAATTTTCTTTGACTTGATCTTTGCTCTCTTATTAATCAGCCTGTTGTTGAATTGAATGTAGACTAACTTGTTGAGGCGATCTGTAGTAAGCCTATTTCTCTTCTTAGTGTGCACCTATAAATTAAAAATAAGAGCACTTTAGTTCTGTAATTTAATTGTAATACTGCTGAAATTTTGATAACAGATAGGTACTAACCCCATCAAACCCACTCTAAGTAATTTCACAACCAGGAGAACTTGCTGTTAAAGATAGGATCTTGGTAGCCATCTTCTGTAGAGCTGGTGTTTCAGTTCCATAAAGCCGCCACCATGATGCTGAAATAAAAAACCTCTCTATTAGTTAGTAGGCATAACAGATTTCTTGTTAGATGAACACAACAAACAACCATGTAAAATCAGCAAACAACTTTTACCTGGATTATAATCAAAGTTTTCAAAAGTCCTTGCAAGCTTCTTGCTAAATGGTCCTTCTCTATTCTGATACTTCTAGAGTTCAATGTTGGCAGCTTGTTCTTGCATGTCTTCATCATGATAATAAAAAGTCTCCACACAACTGATAAATCATTCTGCCATTTTGGGAGCATCAAAGATTGAAGGGTCGGCATAACTGTAGCGTGGATTCAGCAAATAAGCTGTCAAATGCAATGGAGAATCAAGTCTTCCAGCCATTTTCTTGTCAACAACAGCAATAACATCCTTGAAACAGGACTCATTATTGCCAAGGGCCTCTTTGACCTGTCTCTTTGCCTTTAATAGTTCTCCATATACAAAACCCATGGACGGCTTCACATCTCCATCAACCAAACGGAGAACTTTGAACAATGGCTCAAAAACAGCCAATGTCAACTTCACATCCTTCCAAAAGTTTGGATTCAATATAGTTGCTGTGGCATTTTTTCCCTTCTTTGATTTCACATCCTTCAATGAGTCCCACCTACTATGCACCACCATCTTTCTTAGTTGGTCCTTCTTCTCTTGTATGCTGTTCAAAGTCAAATAGTTTGAAGCAAACCTAGTCACTCCTGGCCTTACTATCTCTTTGCCCTTAGTGAAGTACCTCATGCACTCTAGTGTTCTTGTGTGCCCATAGACAAATATGGTGAATGCCTTTGCTTGGTCAATCACCTTCTTGAACTGAGGCATGTTGCCAATTCCTTGGAGCATCAAGTTGATTGTGTGAGTTGCACAAGAGGTCCAAAAGATCTGTGGTCTCTTCTCATGCAGTAGCTTCTTTGCTCCCATGTTGTTAGAAGCATTGTCAGTCATAACTTGCACCACATCATTTGGACCAATATCTTCGATTGCTTTGTCCACTAGTTCAAAGATGACTTCACTTGTGTGTGACACATCTGACATCTCTTTTGAGGAAATAAAACTGGTTCCATCAGCACAATTAGTGCACACATTCATTATGCTTCTCCTCTTCTTATCGAACCAAGCATCGGTCATAATAGAGCACCCATTCTTCAACTTTTTGGCTTCACGTTCTTGCGGCAAACTCTTGGTTCTTGCATATTCTTCTTCCAGCAATCTTCCTCGCAGGTCAAACATAGTTGGAGGTTCAATTCCAAGCCCAAATTGTCCAATTGCTTCACACATTTGCTTAAACTCATCATTGTCACATGCATTGAATGGTATTGCTGTCAATGTTACAAAAAAAGGAAATTAGTGTTCAGTTCAGTACTACAGCAAGGCATCCAATGAAATTGAAATCTGAAATAAAAAAATAGCAAGGAAATTACCATGGTTATAGGCCCATCTTGCAATATATTTATGCACCTCATGTAATCTTTCTTTCCAAAGTTCCTTGTTCAGCTTCTGTTGAGTCAAAGATTCAGATTTGGTTGCTGTAGGATCAATAGTTTTTGTCCATTTGTCCATGGGGCCTAATTTGTGAGGCTCTGAACTTCCAACACAAGTGACTTCCTCTAACCCTCCAACCCTAGATACATGAACTTTCTCTCTAAGTTCTAGCTCATGAACAGTCTTCTCCTCCCTCTTCCTTTTTGCTTCATCTAGTGCTTTCTTGCACTTTTCTTGAGCCTCTAGCAACTTCTCTTTGGTGGTCTTCGTGCCCTGGCATTTCTTCGCATTCTTTCTTTCCTGGGCGACATGCTGCTTCAACCGATAAACCCCTCCAAACATTTGCTTGTCACACAGTATGCACTTCACATTGTCCTTGTTGTTTGGATCAACAAGAACCCCATACTCCCATCCCACATCATCTGAATTCCTTCTCAAGACAGTTGCCCCCTCTGTTCCACTTGCAGTTTCAGATTGACCCTCTGTTCCCGTCATCTGAGTTCAAGCCATCAATCAACACATTACAAACATATACATGCAATCGCCAATCAGTCAACAAATTCATATATATATATACATGCAGATGCATTCAACAATTTCATAGATTCATCATAGTAGATACATGGAATCATTCAACAATTTCAGATTTCAGAAACAGAGGAGAGGAGATCAGGGAAAAGGAACAACTGTAGGGAAAGGAAACAGAGGAGACCTAACAGTATATGTTTGCAAATGCAGACAAAGCGGGGAAGGAAACAGAGGAGCAGGGGAGGAGGACATACAGACCTTGGGAGGAGACCGGCGGGGAGGAGCTTCTGGCGACAAAGACGAAGAGACCGGCGAGGAGGAGCACGACCCGCGGGGACGAGCTCGTCGAGGAGGAAGGAGACCGGCGGAGAGCAGCGTCGCCGGCGGGTCATGCCAGGCGGGGAGGAGGCTCGCCAGCGGGATCTGCTTCCAGGCGAGCAGTGCAACCAATGAGACCTGCTTCCCAGCGGGGAGGAGGACAACCCACGAGGATGAGCTCATCGAGGAGGAAGGAGATCGGCGGGGAGCAGCGTCGTCGGCGGGTCTTGCTAGGCGGGGAGGAGGCTCGCCGACGGGACCTGCTTCCTGGCGGAGGTCGAGGTCGAGGTCGAGGCGAGTACGACTTTCTCTCCCCTTCTCCCCCTTATCCTTCTCTCAGCCAGTGCTTGGCAGCTTGGCTTTTTTCCGTGTCTGTCAGAGCTCTCACAAGGCGGCCGCCGTGGAGCCATTCTTTTGCTGCTGATGGCCTGCGCTTGCTTGCCTAGCTCGATTCCGTGCCGCCTAGGGCTCCTGGGCGCCGCTGAGTCACCGCCTAGCTCCGCCTAGTCGCTCCACCCTCCTAGAGGGGCGATTACCCCCCTAGTCCAGGCGCCAGGCCATAGCCTCGTGACTAGGCGCGTCTAGGCGAGACGTAATCGTCGATTTTCAAAACTTTGAAAAGATGTGCAGGTTATACATGGTGAGACTAGTGAACCTTCTGCAATTTCCTAAACGAATATTCCCACCATTCGTATGTAGGTCCATTCCCCTGTGTTTCTTCGTGCTCCAATTAGCATATAATATGAAAGTATTGTTGTGTTCATCATGACTTTCAGTTGACTACTTCCATTAGCATATACTTCCTTTGCCCCAAAATATAAGTCGTTATGGGATGTGTGCAGATCAAACTTTTTCAACTTTAACTAGGTTTGTAAAAAATACGTGCAACATTTATATCTCTAAATAAGTTTATTATGAAAATATGTTCAATGGTCTATGTAATGATACTAATTATGTATTATAAATATTGATATTATTTTATATATAATTGGTCGAAGTTCAAAAAAAGTTGACTTCTCAGAAAGCAAGAATGAATTCTATTTTAAGACAGAGGGAGTATATGAAAGCAGTGTTGAAAATATTTTAACAATCAAGTTTGTCTCTGTCTGATTGGTAAGCTTAGACATCATAATGGCATTAAAAATTTCGACTCTCATGGACACCCTTATGGATCAGTGCAAAGCATCCCAATCCTACAGTATATACAAATGGCAACCTTAAAGTTATGATATTTTCAAATGGTGGACAATAAAGACCATCTTAGACGTTCTAGCATTAGAGTATATACGTGTAGACACATAGACATGGTGGTGCAAGTGAGCAGCCAGCATGAGTCGAGAGTTAGGGAGTGTTTGGATCCCAGGACTAAACTTTAGTCCCTGTCACATTGAATTTTTAGATATCAATTAGAAGGACTGAATATGAGCTAATTATAAAACTAATTATATAAGTTGTGGCTAATTCGCTTGTCAACGCTGTGTACAGGATGGTGTGGAGATGTGGTGGAACTTATTCGTGGATTTGTTGACGCACGAAAGAAATAGATATCGGAAATCTCTTCCTACCGGTATAAAAAATAATCTTAGCCGCATCATGGAAAGATCTACACAGTAGAGTTTGTGAGCCTTCGACGTCATGCTTTCTGTGACTGTGTAAATTTCACGAACTTAGCTTTTTGATTAAATGTCACTTTAACATCGGTCATATACTTTTACAGTATTGTTATCTTATCGTGCGATCCGTGTGTTTTTAGTATAAAAGTTTAGTTGTCCCATAGCAACGCATGAGCACGAACCTATTTACATATATAATCGAACGTGTGTGTACATGATTATATGAAGATGCAGTGAAACTTATTCATGGATTTATTGGCGCTCGAAAGAAATAGATATCGTAGAATTCTTTCTGCCGATATAAAATATTATCTTAGCCGTATCACGAAAAAGTCTATACAGTAGAGTTTGTGAGCCTGCGACGTCGCGCTCTCCATGACTGTGTTAATTTTACGAACTTTGTTTTTTGAATTAAATGTCACTTTAACGTCGGTATTTAATTTAATATTATTATTATCTTATCGTACGATCCATGTGTTTTTAGTACGAAAGATTTAGTTGTTCCGTAGCCACGTACGGACACGCTGCTAGGTAGCTTAAAAGGCATTTGTTTTCTCTGATACCAGCAGTCCGTTTGCGCGGTGACTTTGGCCGATTATGGTTATATATACAAGAGGGAGTCCCAAATCAAAATGCTGCACTGTTTTGGATTTGTGTTAATTTTGTAACTCTGACTTAGGTGTTCCTCTTAAAGTGCCGTAGATTCATTTAGCATGGGAAACTGCGACATCAGAAAAGAAAACAGAAGTGTGCATGCACGGATACACTTTCATAGTGGGCCTAAACTGGTCGCAATTTGCTCCCAAAAGGAGTCAATCCTGTTGGTTGGTGGCGGAAATATATTGGGCCTGCCATCTCACAGCAACGCCCCCCATCTATCACACAGTTCTGAAGCTAGGCCTTGTTTAGATTGAAAAAAATTTCAACCCGATAAATAGTAGCACTTTCGTCTTATTTGGTAAATATTGACCAACTAAGCTCAAAAGATTCATCTCGTGATTTCCAACTAAACTGTGTAATTAGTTATTTTTTTTACCTATATTTAATGCTCCATGTAAACGGCTAAAAATTGATGTGATAGAGAGAGAGTGAAAAAACTTGAAATTTTGAGGGTATCTAAACAAGGCCCTAATGCCAACTTCAAGCAGTCTCCAATAGAGTCAGTCAGTCAGAGAAGACATGATATTATTATTGGCATAACTATCGACGAGTGCTAGTTTGTCATTCTGTTCAAACATTTTGGGGGCGGACCTGTTTCTTCTCCACGAATTATATATGACCATTCTTACATGTTGTTACGAGAAGGACCTGTTTCTTCTCCACGAATTATATATGACCATTCTTACATGTTGTTACGAGAAGTCTAAGGCCGTGTTTGGTTTCGTATGATTAAAATTTAGGTACTAAAATTAATGACTAAACTTTAGTTATTTTTTTTTCTAGTGACTAAAAGTGACTGAAGGTCGTTAAAGTAGTTCAACAAAGATCAAACTACTTCTAATAAATGCAAAAAACAGGGTGGTGGACCAATAATAATGAGGGACAACCCTTGTCCACGGCACAATTTAGCCCACTTTTAGCTACTCTTAGGTGATTAATGTGACTAAACTACTTTAACTTTTTTTAGTCAGTTTGTTTGGCATTTTATTAGCTAAAGTGACTAAAGTTTAGTAGCTAAACTTTAACGGGGTTAACCAAACAGGCCCTAAGACGTCCTCATAAACCCTGTGCCAAGGTGCTTTCGGCTTTCAGCCTCGAGGCACGGACAGCCCTCCCCTCCGGTTCCGTGCATCGTCCTGTTTGTTTAGGTTTGTTTAGCTGATAAGCCATGGCTGAAAGTACTGTTGGCTGATTCAGTGTGAGAGAAAAATACTATTCGTTGGCTGAAAAAATACGGCTTATAAACCAAACAAGCCCAAGCGAACATGGCACATATCGGTAGAGCACATGTTGGGTGATGAATAGTGACGACTGACGAGCGGTTTCGGGTGCCCGCGCGTGTGATTTCAAACGTCCAGCCTGTTCGCTTGTTGGTTTCAACCAGGACTTATCAGTCAGCCAATAATATTTTTCTCTCATAACAAATCAGCACCGACCGACCGAATTTATCAGTCCAGAAACCGACCCGTAAACATGCGGACCGTTTTTGCTAGTTCTCATTTCAACGCTGCAGGAACACCGGCGCATTTTGTTTTGAACCATGCATGTTTGATCTCGGTTGGAGCGGCCAAAGGCGCAAAAGCGGGCTACGTTGATCTGACGGCCGACGCTGTAGTACGCCTTTGCTTTGCACACAAGTCATGCTCCAGTCCGGCGGACTCAGCGGGAAAACACCGCCTGCCGACCATACAGTATGTGGCAAGTTCATTGCGTCCCATGCCGGATGGAATTGTTGTGTTGTGGCCCGTGGGACTGGACGACGTGGGCGGTGCCAAGAAATGACCTGCTCGCGCTTTCATTGATTGCGAGGGCCGAGGGACGAGGGCCGGGTGCTTGATTAATTGCCATGTTCATTTTACTAATAAACCATGGTTGAAAGTACTGTTGACTAATTTGTGTGAGAGAAAAAAACTGTTAAAGTACGGTTTATAAGCCGAGCGAACAGGAGGAATGACTCGGTACTCACCCGCCGGCGCCGTGCCCTCCCGTGCATGATGCAACAATGCAATGCAACCCAGGTCGCCACGCCATGCGAGTATGCGACCAAGGCAGCCTGCGGCTGCGGGTGGGTTCACTGCGCGTGCGCACGTAGGGGTGCGCATTCGGGTGCCCTACGCGCCAAGCGACATTATTATGCGGCGACGAAGACTGGGACGGTCCCCGGCCCATATTGCCGGGACGCCAGATTCAGCGGTGCCGGTGCCGACGGCCGAGCGAGCACGAGCAGAGCCGAGCGAGCGACGCGACTCGAGCACACGGCAGGACAGGACGGGACCACCATGGCGTGGGGGCTGCACTCTGAAAGGACTGGAGGTCTGGAGCGGTCGGTGACAGAAACAGCCAAACAGGGCCCAGCACGAGCCCTGCCCCTACCGGTCGTCTAGCCGTCGTAGGCCAGGCGGCGGGGCAGAGAAGTTGTCAGCCGCTGAACCTGCTCAGACCGACGATGCACGGCACCGAAATGCGGGGCCCGGCCACAGGCCGGGACGTTTGCCCTTGCCCCTGCGGTGCGAAGATACAGTTGGGCGGGATCCACCACGTGGGCGCGTACGGAAGAGGGAGAGAGGCCATGTGCGCAGACAGTGGTCATTCTTACACGGGCGTAACGGCCTCCCGGCAGGCACTTCGCCGGGATCTCGCTTGCCGCTACGGGTAAGAGGCCGAAAACGACGGGTTCTTCCTTCTGGAATCCGATCACGTCGATGGCACAGCGTGATTGGCGGTCCGAACTGAGCGGCCGGCCGGGATTAGCTCTGCGTCACGGCGTCACGGTCTCACAGAACGTGAATGCCCCGAGGACCGCGCGTAGCGCGAGTGGGGGGAGCCTGTGGCTGGCTCCGTGCCGACCAGCGTTCGAGTCCCGACTCAGCGCTCGTCTCTCACCTCAGAGATTTATTCTCCGTTAATAAT